GCTTATTCTTTAAAGTATAATGGTATATACAATACGTTATAACTACCGGAGCCAAGTATATTTTCAATGTTCATTTTATGAACTTACAGATACAAAAATTTTAAGCTCTGTTTTAGGAAACAAGAAAACAGCTTCCACGAAGGTTAACCCGAAAAGGCTGTGACAACTTATTTATTGCTGTTATTATATATAAGGCTTGCTTTTTTTGAAATAAGTGCTTGTGCACTCAATGAAACAAAGAGCTTTCAAAGATATCTTATGGCATTGGAAATGTGTTGAGAAGTATTTGAAGATTATAAAGATTGAAAACAGAAAATCCGAAAACGAAAGCAAACCTTGAGTTCGTAGTCGTTCAAAGCGACATGTCCCTTCTCCGTGACTTTATTCACAACAAACGAATTGCTCTCGGGAACAAAAACAAACTCGAGCAACTTCTGAAATACAGTTGGAAGGTATGATTTGGCTATTACTAAAAAGAGATCTACTGATAGATAAACGTACCCGCGATATTGTTGGATCATCGACAATGATATCGCTGCCTGATTGTCTTCCTACTGTCCCCCCACAGATAGTAATCACATGGAGATTGTTTTTTGAGTCAATAATTCGAAGCAAAGGCGGTTGAGAGAACCCTTCTTCTTAAATAAAACACATATCTATTTCTGATTAAGAATTATTTTTTCTAAGCGAAAAAAACATCGGACGAAGCTACAACGAGTTATAACAAAGATTGAACCAAGTTTCAAATATTTCTGCAGACTGTTCTTCGAATTCTCCAAAACTTAGCAATTCATTTGTTTACAAGTATTTTGCCGAAACCCGGTTTTAGGTGGAATCTTTATTGCCTGACGTTTCGACGTTTCCGCCTTTTTCGAGGGCCTGAAACGGATCTTGCGATCTACTACACTATACCATCAAAGGTCTCCTCTCACACCGCGTAGTCTAAACTTTGTCCAAGGAACAACTGAGACCATTGAACAACGGACTAACCCACCCTTTATTCCACCGCTTGTCAGTAGTCCGCACTGTAGTAACGGACGTCGCTGAGTATCACTCAGCTAGTCCGGCC